TGTTGCACTCATCTGCTTGAAATCTAGATGGGTTTTAATTTTGCAATTAGAAAAATATACCAGCTGAAGATATCACCAAGTCTTCCAGCATTCTGGGCATGCCCATTTTCATAATATCAAGTACAAATAGCTCTGAGCACCATCCTTCATCTTTCCTCCTAGTGACTTTCAGTGTTTGCATTTCTCCCAGTCACTTTTGATTCTATCATACTTTTCTGCTGCATTCTTTAATCCTGGTTCTGGGTATGACTCTTTGAATGTTTTGCTCTCTTTCTGTACCACATCATCCTTTATTGGATGTATCTCCTTCCCTTATTTCCCCAAATACTATTGGCAAAGTAATATTGAAATATTTGGGGATAACAATTGATAGTACAGGAGAACGAATAACTTAAAAGTGAATATTTCAGTTTATTTTCAAGATCCCTTGACAATTTTTCACTAGTCATTTTTTCCCCACCTCTTTTTTATTCTCCCCCAATTTTCCTCAGAACTCAAATATTCTCTTCTTTTTATCATTATGCAATGCAAGGTACTTTTTGTTTCTACTCCAAACTTAGCTCTTGACCTACTTTGGTACTTATTATAATGGCCTCCTAAATAAATAGGCATTTGCTTTAAAGCACTACACTTGAACAGCACAAAGCACCCATAAGGACTCTGAAACATATCTTTATTGGTTAGGGATGTAGCTCAGTGGTAGAGCACTTGCCTAGCATGTGTGAGGCCCTGGGTTCAATCCCCAGCACCCCAAAAACAAAGTGATTAAACCTTGTTGATATTGATATCAGCAGCATTGATATCACCTGGGTCGAATTGCAATGTCAGGTCCCAACATAGACCTATTTGTTGTGAAGTCCATCCACAAGTCCTCCAGATAATACTTTTTACTGTGCCCCCAGTGTTGGAGACAGAACCTAGGGCCTCATACAGGCTAGGAAAATGCTCTACCACTGAGCTACATCCCTAGCTCCCGCATAATTCTAAGGCATGCTAAAGTTGGAGAACCCCTGACTTCACAAACTTTGGTTTGTAATGGGTATACATATTAATATCTACTTCATCATTTTAATGGTTGTATGAATAAAATGATTTCATACTGATGGACCATATCGATTGCTTCTGATTTTAATATGCAACCAAATTCTAGAAGAGTATATGGAAAAATACAATGATGAGAAAACCTGGCAATTTTAGATGAAACTTTTTAAAAATCCCTTTAATATCATTAATTGCTTAACAGTGAATGCAAATCGAGGCCAGGCATGATGGTTCATGCCCGTAATCCCAGCAACTCGGGAAGCTAAGGAAAAAGGATTGCAAGTTCAAGGGCAGCCTCAGCAACTTATGGAAGCCCCAAGAAACTTAGCAAGACTCTGTCTCAAAATAAAAAATAAAAACGGGCTGCGATGGGACTGGGTTTGTGGCTCTGTAGTAGAGCACTTGCCTAGCACATGTAAGGCACTGGATTTGATTCTCAGTATCATATATAAACAAATAAAGATCCAGATCCATCAACAACTGAAAAATATAAATAAATAGATGGGGAAAAATCCTTAAAAAAAAAAAAGAAAGGATGTAGCTCAGTAGTTAAGTGCCCCTGGGCTCAATCCCCAGTATACCCTCTCCCCCAAAAAGAAAACAAATTGGAATATAGGACAATGTCATGCGAGCTAAAGTGGGAGTGAGCTATGGATTCTCCTTAGGAGGCAATGGAAGTAGGCCAAAAGCTCTGAAAAGTCAAGGAACTCGTCTGGTTTGCCAACTTCTATATGCCCAGTGCCTTAAACAGTGCCTGGCACAAAGGAGCTGTTTAGCAAGTATTTAATGAATGAGTAGGTTAGCTAAGTGCTGCTAAGTGTGCAGCTCTGGACTTGCCACAGGTCACCCTCTGGGACGTGAGCCTTTCTGACCACCTAGGGTTGTAGGTATGGCCCTGCTTTGTGCCCAGAGCTCATCTACTGTGGAGAGGCACTTGTGACAGTACCATGGAAAGGAGCCTATGTGCATTTCAGTGTGAATCTATGTTCTTTTCTTCCAAAGGATGCTACCTATAACTCCTCATAGACAGGCTCAACAGTCTGGTGCTACACCAACTGAATCTTGGAAGATATTAAGGAGTTATTGTTAATTTTTATTTAGTTTGAGTAATAGTAGTTATAAATATTTTTGAAAAAATATAGATTTGCTTCAAATTCATCTGAATGGGGGAGTTGGATACTAGTGGGATAAATGAAAGAAGATGGGCTATCAGTTGATAATTGTTGAAGCTGAACGATGAGTGCACTAGACTCCTAATGAATGTATTGATGTAATGTTTTTGTTGTTGTTGTTGTTTTTAATCAATTAATTAATTTGTTCTAATTAGTTTTACATGACAGCAGAATGCATTTCGATTCATAGTACACAAATGGAGCACAATTTTTCATGTCTCTGGTTGTACACAAAGTAGAGTCACACCATTTATGTCTTCATACATGTACCTAGGGTAATGATGTCCATCTCATTCCACCATCTTTCCTACCCCCCTTTTTTTAAAGACATGAAATCTTTTTAAAAATATTTTTTGTTGTAGATGGACACAATATCTTTCTTTCTCTCTCTCTCTCTCTTTCCATGCGGTGCTTTATTTATTTATTTATTTTCATGTGGATCTAATCTAGTGGCTCATACGTACTAGGCAAGTGCTCTACCACTGAACCACAACCCCAGCCCTGATCTCCTGTTTTTAAAGAATAAGATAATGGGCTGGGGATGTGGCTCAAGCCGTAGCGCGCTCCCCTGGCATGCACCGGGGCGCTGGGTTTGATCCTCAGCACCACATAAAAATAAAATAAAGATGTTGCGTCCACCGAAAACTGAAAAATAAACATTAAAAAATATTCTCTCTCTCTCTCCCCCTCTCTCTCTTTAAAAAAAGAATAAGATAATGACTTATTAATGACTTATAATACTTTCAAGAAGTGTTCACTCTTCTTGAAATCGTCTTCAGGTCAGCAGCAGATGCCCTTCAAATAAGCATAAGCTCTTCCAATAAGCAACAACAACAAAATTATTACATCAAACATTACATCAATACACCTGCCACCAACTTCCTGGGCCCATGTCCCTTGTACATGAACCCGGGAGTTACAATAGAAGTAACCAAAGTAATTGCCTATTTTTCTCTCTACATTTTTTTGCTTCTTTAGTCAACTAAGTCTGGTTTCTGTCTTTGTTACTCAACCTTAATTGTTGATGTCACAAAATTCAATGTGTATAACTACTTGTAAAAGAATGGTTCCAAGTTGAGTGTGGTGGTGCACACCTGTAATCCCAGTGACTCAGGAGGCTGAGGCTGAGGCAGGAGGATCACACATTCAAGGCTAACCTCAGCAACTTAGCAAGACCCTATCTCAAAATAAAAGATAAAAAGGATTGAGATGAGTTCAGTCCCCAGAATTCCCCCCACCAATGAACAAACAGGCAAATAAAACATGTTCCAGCCTAGATATTCCTCCTTTGAAAGATCTCTATACCCCCAAATTTATGGACATTTCTAGTTGCATATTCTATGGTTGCTCCAAACTCAGCTTTTTCCAAGCTCATTATCTTCCCCCAAACCCGTGATATCCCATTTTGGTGAACCATTAAATTACCCAAATAAGAACCACTAAGGCAATATTTTATTTTATTTTTGAACAGCTTTATTGAAGATACTTGACATACCTTAATAAATTGCACATATTTACTGATCTGATTTTCTGTCAGTACAGATTCATTCTCAGTTATTAGAACTATTTAAATGTTTAATTGATACAAAATAATTATACATATTTGTAGGGTACATTGTGATAATTCAATACATGTATACAAGTGCAATTATCAAATCAGGGAAAATAGCATTTCCAGCTCTTTAAAATTTATCATTTCTTTGTGTTGGATACTTTTAAACTCTCTTCTACTTCTTTATAAATATATAAAATTGTTAAAAAACTACAGTCACCTCACTAGTTCGACTATATCCATACAATAACTTGATCCTTCTTCTTCTAATCTAAATGTATATATTTAGTTATTGTTATCTAGTTCCCTTTTACCCTTGCTCCCCCCTCTTCCCTTTTTAGCTTCTCTCTAGTGACCTCTATTCTACTTTTTATTTCTGTGAAATCAACATTTTTAGTTCTCACAAATGAATGGAAACATGATATTCATTTTTGTGTACCTGATTTATTTCATTTAGCATAATATCCTCTAATTCCATCTGTGTTGCTACAAGTGATAGGATTTCATTCTTTTTTGACTGAGTAATATTCCATTTGTGTGTATGAACTACATATTCTTCATCCATTCATTCATTGATGGACATTTAATTTGATTCCATATCTTGCCTATTGTGAATAGTGCTTAAATCAACATAGGAGTGCAGGTATTTCTCTGTTTTTACAATTTTATATAAATGGAATCATTCAACATATATTCTTTTTTTTGTTTGTCTTTTTGCACTGAGCATAATTATATGTATTAATATTTCATTGCTTTTATCAGGGAGCATCAAAGTATTATATGGACATAACCCAATTTGTTCATTCATTCATGACAATTATATTGTTTTCAATTTGGGACTATTGCAAATAAAGTTGCTATTTCATGCACAAGTCTTTGTATGGACATATGCTGTTGTTTCTCTTGTTTAAATTTTTGGGAGGGGGATTTCTGGGTAATATGGTAGACAGTTTTATGTATTAAATTCTAAAGAAACTTCTGAGCATGACTTTTGACTTTCTGTAGTAGTGATGATTGGTGGCCATCCCAGCATCTATCTCATATTCCACCGCTTAACCCTTTACTGCCTCTTCTTCCACAGGATTAAAAAAAAATGACACTTGCGTTCCCAGCTGCCTTTGCATCTGTGGCCAGGGCATGTGGCTCCACCTGGCTGTGAGGACCTGAAGAACCAGCAGGAAATGAGAAGGTAGGTAGAATTCTGAGGATGTAACAGAAGGACTCCTGTTGTAGAGGGTGGTGTAGAGAGGGCATTTCCTCCCAGAGCTTGTAGCTTCCTTCCACACTTTTCTCAGAGTACCCAGTCCTCCAAACTCTCTAGCTCATTGCCAGAGCCCCCCAGGTCCTGAAAGTGACTCTTCACTCTTCTGGTGGGGGACCACATGACTGGCTGGCATTCCCATCCCTGGACCCCAGAGGTGGCTGTGTGCAGAAGATGCTCTGGAGTGTCCACATTGCATGTGTGTAAGGAAGGGTCCCTAAGGTCCCTGGCCTGCTTATTTTCTTGCCTATCAACAGCATGCTGAGGATGGTCCTTAATCTTAGAGTCTCCAAACCTTTCTCCCAGCTGGTCTGCCTCTGGTTTTTGTCCTTTATAGTTAAGTCCTCTTTTCCTCGCTGTTCAAAGCAACCATCCTGGCTGATGCTCTTTAACTTCTTTCTCCACCAAGTTCTTTTACTCTATTTCCTTAGGAATCCTTAAATCTGTTCACTTTTCTCAATCCCTCTGCCCTTGTTCTAGGCCAATTTAACTTCACCTGGATTATGGCAGATTCTGAAGATTATGCTTTTAGTACAGCTATGAAATACCTCTTTCCTAAAGTCACTAGGTCTAAATCCCAGCTTGTTTCTTATGAGCTTAGTAACTTCTCTGTGTCAAAATTAACAGTAATTTTCTGCCAGCATGGTTGTGAGGGTTAAAGGTAACAAATCAAACAGAGCATTTATCACAGTTCCTGGTTTTTAAAACATGTTTCTCACCAGTGTGGTTATATATGCCTCTAATCCCAGTGATATGGGAGATACCAAGGCAAGAAAATGGCAACTTTGAGGCCTGACAGACTCTGTCTCAAAATAAAAAATGAAAAGGTCTGAGATGTTGCACCTCTTGAGTTCAAACCCCAGTACCCCCAAAAATGTTTATCATATTTTTTCTAACATCTATATAATTGCTTGTATTTTTTTCTGTGTTTAGAAACAAAGCAAAGACATCATCAACTGGTTAAAGCCTACTCAATTTAAAACCCCAGTTGAAGTTCCAGCTCCTTCAAGAAAGACTGCTTGATCCATTTACCTCTCTATCCCCCCCACCAGGTAAGCTGCTACATACTTTATGGTTCTTTTCCTCCCTCCACCTCCCCCTCCTCCTTCTTTTTCTTCCTCTCCCTCTCCCTCCTCTTCTTCTTTCTTATTGAATTCTACATTAGTTGATGATGAACTCTTTGAGGGCTAGGATGGTGTCTTCAGCATTGAAAAAAAAAAAAGTTTAGTGGCATAAAGTCCCAGGAGGAGATGAGTATTAGTTAAAACTAGGATTCTTATATACTGTATGAGTCTAACTCTAGGACATTCTGGAAAAGGCACAGCTATGAAGAAGAGAAAATGATCAGTGGTTGCTAGGAGTGTGGGGGTGGGGGTGGGGATGGACAGACAGGGTGTGGGAGTTGTTTAGGGCGGTGAAACTGTGCTGTATGAAATATAATGCTGGAGATATGTCATTATATGTTTGTTCAAACCTATAGCACATATGACAGCAAGAGTGATTGTTGCTATTATCTATTATTTATCATTTAAGAAGTGCTATAGAGTGTGCGGTCTGCCATGAGAAAGTCACACTTAAGATGGTGTCTGAGGACAGGGAGGAGTTAACCCAATTAAAAGGCTCTTCAAAGAGCCTCGGGACCAGAGAGAACACTGTGTTCCAGGACCTGGAAGCAGACAAGAGAGGAACTACAGGCAGGTCAGACTAGTTGGGGCATAGTGAGCTAAGGAAATAAGACTGGGGAGGTGAACAAAGGGCAGACCATAGAAGGTATAAAGCCAAGGTCAGGGTTGGAAGTTGTACTCTAAGAATGATGAAAGCCACTGAAATATTTAAAGTAGGAAAGTGTATTGTCAGATTTGAATTGTAAAAATTGATATTTATATAAATCTACAAATGTATATATGTGTGTGTATTTATATATATGTATTTATAGATATATATACTATGTAAGATAATGGATCATGAAGAACAAGCTCAAAGTGGCTTGACCAGGAAAGTGAGTACTGTGACAGCCAGGTCAGGTAAATGGTAAATGTGAAATGCTTAGCTCCTTGCCAGTATACTCCATGTGATCATGAGCCATGCAGACAGTGGAAGAAGAAGAAAAAAAGTATGCAAAATAGGCAGAAAATGTGAGCAGACAGCTCATGGGATGATAAAGTTGAATAACTTGATATAGTTGATGATACATAATGCTTTTTAAAATAATCTTTACATCAATGATGAGTAGTAATAAAATAATCACCACATTAAATATTTAATGAGTGTTTGCTATGTGTTGGGCAACTGCTCTCTGCTCTTTACATAGTTGAAATAATTTCATCCTTATCCCAGTTATCTGTTATTTCATTGCAAATTCTCTAAAATATAGTGCTTAAAACAACAGCAATACATATTTTGCTCCCAAACCTGCAGCTTGGGTGGGGGTTGGGAGCTGCAAGGAGACTGTTGATGATCCACTTTGTGTTAGCTAGGACAGCTCAGAGTTTGAGGGGCAGAACCTCTGGAGCTTGCTCATTTGCATGCCTGCGATAGATGCCAGCTGTGTGCACTCTTCTTCTGTTGCACTCAACACACTATATTGCAATCTGTTTGTTTAATGTCCAAACATCTCTTGGACTTTGGGGTCCTCCAGAACATGAACCATCCTATTTGTCTTTGTATCACCACTGTTTGGGGCACCATCGCACAGTGGCTGCTCCATAAATGTTCACTGAATAAGGAAAAAAGGAATGTATTCTGACTCTTACTAATACAATATCTTCCTTTATTAAATAAGAAATTCTCCAGCTTCTGCTTGAACACTCTTCATGACTAGATTTTTATAACTTTCTAAGACTCCAGTTTTCTTAGGAAGTTTTTTTTTTTTTTTTTTTTTTTTTGTACTTAGCTAGAATCTGCTTTTGTGTAACTCCTGCTTAGCTGTTTCTGCTCAGGACTCATAGAACTGCACAGCATGAGACTAAGCCAACTTCCACAAAACATCCAGCCCCTCAGTGGTAACATCACAGACCATCTAAATCCTCTCTAACGCCCCAGTTCTTACATTGTCCCACATGGATGTAGTTTCCATGGTTACCTTCCTTTAGAGTCATTCTTATATTCACAGAGGCCCAGGATAAAATGCCTGGGGCAATATTAATGGTGAGCCTAAAGATGAAGGAATGAAGTGGAATGAAGCACCATTCTGAGCTGAGTGTGCTGGAACAGGCCTGTAATCCCAGCTATTCAGGAGGCTGAGTTAGGAGGATTGCAAGTTTGAGGCCAGCCTGGATGATTTAGCAAGATCAGCTTAAAATAAAAAGTCAAAACGGCTGGGAATGTAGCTCAGTGGTAAAGCACCTGTGGGTTCTATCATTAGTGCCAAACACACAGACACAAAACAATAACAGCACATATTTTAAGGCCATGGTAAGCAAATGGGCTTAAATGGGAAGTGCAGGATGGGACTATGGAGTGAGGACGCAGTCTGGGAGTAGGAAAGACCACAACCTATCATGGACCTCCCCTGGATAGGATCTTGGTGAGAAGCAGATGCAGAATGTGTGGGAAAGTCGTGTGAGGCATTGACTCATTAGAAATGGAGAAGAGAAAACAGGAAAATTGCAAAGGTCAGTTAAAACCAGTTACCCTCTTCTATGTTAACACAATCATTTTTCAAAGCATGCTGGTTAACCTGCAGTGCCTGAGCCCAGCCCCACATCTACTGAATGTACATTCTTTGCAAACTCCAAGGTGAATCTTAAGTACATAGAGAACCTTGTTTTAAGGACTAGGGTGAGGTGGGAACTACTTACATTCAGATTTAGAGAGTGTTTGGGTGTTTTTTTAGGTGTAGATGGACACAACACAAAGCCTTTATTTTTATGTGGTGCTTAGGATCCAACCCAGGTCCCGCCCACGCTAGGTGAGCCCTCTGCCACTGAGCTACAAAAGAGCTGCCTTTGTTAAAAGATTGAGTCACAATAATTATTTTTTATTGATCAATTTATTTATTTTAATGAGGTGTATATGTACAACCCAGAGAAATACAAAGTTGGGCTGCTTCACAATAATTCTTTCAGGAAGTTTTCTTCTCCCCAACTCCCTCCAGCCCCCATCTTCAGGAAAAAAGCAGTTAGGATTTTAAATTCATTATACATTTCCATTCCCAGTCCCCAGTTTCATGGAAATATTAAATCCTTTCCTCTTTTCTACTGTTGGATTTTAAAACGATTTTTCAATGCAGTTTTAGTTAAATGACAAATGGAAATTAAGAGTTGTTGTAACAAATAGATTTTTGGCTTAGAATCAGAAAGAAACTAAAATGGAATTTGCCTAAAGCTATGTTTTTTGCTCTTATGAAAATGTTTTAAGAATTTAAAAACTAAATGTCTTAAGGAAACATCAGTGCACATTTTTTTAAAATGAGGTTGCAACAAGTGCAAAATGCTGCCTTTTTACCAAAATTACTACACATCACTACACAAAAATGTAAAAACCAAATTTTTCACATGGTGAAACTTTTGCTTTAATAAAATGATCCTGGGATGGTATTTCTTCAGATAGAAGCCTCTATTTCTTTGCCTGTCTCTCCTGAATAGTAAAACACATATTTACAGATCAATAGATTCTTTTAATGAGCTAAGGACAAGAGCAGTCTGAAATGGGGAGAAAGCATTAGCCATTTTTTTTCCCACCAGAAGTCCCTGGGAAATAAATAAAATGAATTCACCTGCCGGTTGCAGTGGCACATGCCTGTAATCCCAGTGGCTCCGGAGGCAGGAGGATCACCAGACTCAAGTGAGGCACTAAGCAACTCAGTGAGATCCTGTTTCTAAATAAAATACAAAACAAGGCTGGAAATGTGGCTCAGTGGTCAAGTGCCCCTGAGTTCAATCCCTGATATTGAAGAAAAAAAATATGTATTCACTTACAGCCTTTCAAAAGGACTGCATTAAAAAGAAAGTCACTCTCTGACTTGTTTAATTGAGATCTTCCACGGTAAATCAATTGGGGATTTCAAGGTGGCCAAGACACACAGTCCCTACCTTCCAGATAGAGCTCATCAACCACCAGGGCCCAAGGCCATCTTGAGAAATGGAATAGAACAAAGTGCTTTGAGAATGAATGAATCTGATTGGGATGTTAAATTAGATGTTAATCTTAAATGATGGGCCAGATTTAAAAGCTGTCTTTTTTAAGCTTCAGTTTGGACTTCCTTCTTGGCTTCAAATTTTTGCAAGTTGTTCAGGAGAGTGATTTTTTTTTTTTTAAACATGTAGTGTGAAAAACTAAAATGAAGAGTAACTTCTTGCTTTTCAGTGTCTCGCTTGCGTAATTCCCTACAAGCTTTATTTGAGGGCAGAGAAATTCACATTTATTGAGAGCTGACTCTTTTAGAGGAACTGGACTCATTTTCACAGCACCCCTAAAATGTGTGTATCACTGTACTTGTTTTGTGAATGAGAAAACTGAGGTTCAGATATGGAATCATGTATTTCAAGCCAGTAGAGCCTGCTCTTGACACTACAAGTTAGCTAGAAAATGGAGGAGGGGAGAGAGTGACAGATAAAAGGCTAATTTCACTGACAATTGTCTATTGTTAGTGGAGCTAATGGGTTGTGCCAAACTAATTAGACCTAACAAAATGCTGCCTGTTTATCAAAAAAAAAAAAAAAATGACAGGGTCTATAGATGAAAGAAGAACTAGAGATTCTTGAGAAATAGAAGTTGAAATTTTGCATGAGATTTCTTTGGTAATAAAATTAGAATGAATCAAACTGCATGAAGGACACTGAGCATTGCACTTCAAGCACTTTGTTAAGCTGTTTGTTTTACCTTTAGCAAAGTTTGTAATAGATATTAAGGTAAGATTACAGAGAATTTATTTTGTGAAATAGAAAAAAATTGCACAATATTCATTTACACAACTGACAAAGCTTTTTTTTTTTTCTTCTGCTTTTGGTATTGGTGATTAACCCAGGGGCATTTTTGTAACTGAGCTATGTCACCAACCATTTTATTTTTTGAGACAGGTTCTCTCTAAATTGTTTAGGGTCTCTATAAATAGCTGAGGCTGGTCTTGAACTTACAATCCTCCTGCCCTAACCTCTCAAATCACTGGGATTACAGGCATGTGCCACCATGTCTAGCCTAACAAAACTTTTAACTCTAGGCAAGAAATGAGAGGAAAAAAAACTAAAGTAATTGGGTCAGAGAAATCAGAGAAAACCAGAATTAAGCTGAAAAAATAGTTTGGTAACAAACAATAATGTAGAAAATCAAGATATGCTTCCTGAAAAAGGATAATTAGTCAAGAATAGAAAATAACAATATTCAAGATAAATATATTCTAGTTTTAGCTTTGTTACCTATAACCAATGTGGACCAGATAGATGTCAGCTACTCAAAGTAGTTTGAAGACTATGAATGTCTCAAAGTAGCTGAAGAGAGTCAACATATAACTCCTTCTAAATTAAAACTCTCCAGGGCCTCATCTTTCAAGGTAGCCAGTGAAGTTGGCTATGGTAGAGAGAGATTGAGATTAACCTTCAGTTTTTATTCACCATCAAACTCTCACCCTATTTATTTAATTTGCTCTGCATTTATCAATAGAAGTAAGGATATGCTAATTATATACCTGAGTTCATAGATATATACACTATATATAAGTGTATTGTAGAAAATTTATATATATACATGTTATAAGAAATGTTGGCTTCAATACACAGAGAATAAAACTGTTGTTGTCTTTGATAATACTATTCTGTTGATCTAGTTAAAGAAATTCTCTCCAATCACAACTTTGGTGGCAGATTACCTTACAAAAGAGTTTCTATTGTCTGATGAGATGAACTTTTCACTGTTTTTTTTTTTTTTTTGGCCACCAATGATGGAAGTGATTTGTTACCTCTTCCCCCTGCCTCCACTGAATATCTCAGTCACTTCCTAACTAAAAGCAGATCTAGACTCTTAAACATCCATCAAACAAAATATTACCCTAAAAGGTCCAGACAAACACTTTAACTGTCCTCCCTATGTTTAAGATAATTTAGTATCTTTAATTTATTAAATAGATACTGTATCATAGCTGTTTAGCTTCTAGAACCTATCTACTTGAGTTAGAATTCTAGGTGTTCACACAAAATAATACAATCCTAGCTCAGTAAAACAATGTGCTTATTCTTTTAAATATATCTGACATTCATAAATAAATTTAAGTGAATTTGAGTTTGTACATTTAATATTATCTCTTTGTTCCTTTTAACATGGGCTGTCCTGTTCAACTTTTCAATTCTGCTACAAAAAGTAGGAAAGAATTTGCATGGAAGATAATGGATTTTTAAATATAGTCAACTCCCACGTGCCAAGTGTGGTGGCACATGCCTTTAATACCAGTGAATTAGGGGGCTGAGGCAGAAGGATCACAAGTTTGAGGCCAACCTTAGCAACTTAATGAGCCCCTATTTCAAAATAAAAAACTAGTACTGGCGTGGGATGTGACTCAGTGGTAAAGTGTCCCTAGGTTTGATTCTCAGTATGGAAATAAAATAAAATTGAGTAAATAAATAAAGTCAACTTCCAAATAGCAGTAGTCTATATGACATTTAAATACCTATGAATAAGAATGCTTCTTCAAGAATGAAAAAAATCAATCAGAACTATTATTATTCTGTATAAGAAATTTATTTAAAATTATTTATTGACTTTCACTTCTGGAAAGAGTTTTAGGCAGTTTTAAAAATATATGAAATTTTCATGACAGTTAGCACAAAGTAATACAATGGGGAAAAAAATTAGATAAGCCATGAGATTAGTACATGTGTCTTGGAATCCTGCATTCTTGCTAGAAGAGGACCACAATGACGAGTCTGATCTTTCTGGCAGCTCAGGGGGCGTGGCCAATTACAAAGTGGTTCATAGGACTGTGGAAGAGAAACTGGTGAAGTCACTCAGACATGCTGGGGAAGTTTATCTCACTTAAGACCTGTAATTGTTTGACAGAATGGCTCTCCCTCAATGCTGGGACAAATCAGTGATCCAAGGCCTAACCTGTGCCATGGCAGCACAGATGAAATAGGATCAGTGAGAAACATTTTTTTTAAATATGTTTTTAGTTGTAGATGGACACAATACCTTTATTTGATTTATTTACTTTTTATGTGGTGCTGAGGATCAAACCCAGTGCCTCACACCTGCGAGGCAAGCGCTCTACCACTGAGCCACAATCCCAGCCTCAGTGAGAAACATTTTTAAAGCAGGTTTCCCCCAAAACTATAAAAGTGCACGCGCGCGCGCGCGCGCGCGCGCGCGCACACACACACACACGCACACTCACAGCTCTCTACAGAAAGTCTGAGCAGCATACTTTCTGGGGAAGTTTCTGGATTAAATTCTTTGACAAAAATATAGCAGGGTGGGCATTGAATAAAATCACCTGCTAAATGTAGTCCTGAAGTCTGTCGGTTGTCTAGTGAGACGTAGCTGCCAAGATGGACAGCTTTAGCTGCAGAGTAGAGTCAGTGCTTTGCAAGCCAGGTGCCCCTCCCCCGACTATCTCACACCAGACCGGGCTCATATGTGATCAAAGACAATTTAATCTTCTGTCTTCCACTGTAGGGTACTTGCGCTGAGAAACAACTTTCCAACACTTGGAGGTGGCCTCAGGAAGATGTGTGTGGTGACTGGGTATGTTAGTGTTAAACCTGCATTCAGAAGAGAAAAGGAGTACAAATTACAGGCCTAAAGAATGGAGAGACAAGATGCTGAGGAGGAGAGTGACAATCACAGGCATTGTGTTAGGCTCAATGCTATGTGTGACTTCTTGTGGTGCTTGGTATAACAGATTTTGTGGGGGTGCTATGAAAAAGCTTTTCATCCTCCAAAATAATTAAATAAAAAGGAGGATGCTCTGGAACGCTGCATAACTCTAGGGAATTTGTCTGCTCTGGAAAAAAGACTGAAAATAGGACATTGAATAGGATATGACTTATGAAACGTTTTAAGATTTTTTTAAATTCCACTTTAAGGAATTTGCAAATTCTTCAGTCTATAATGGTCAACAATGACATTCAAATGGGATGGACAAATGCCTTCCAATTTTTAAATTCAAAGTGGAGGCACATGAGGATGAAGTATGACCTAACACTATAGGGGAAAGAATTCTTCTTTTTATAAAACGTCAAAGACCCAACCAGAACATAACATTGAGTAAAATAGGAACAGGAGTCAAAGTGAATATATAACATAATGCCTATTTTGTTTGCTTATTTTGAATATGCAGATCTATAATGAGGACCTCCAAGTATTCTGGGTAAAAGAATTTCAGAACTTCACTTCTTTCTGTTTCTTCTCAATTTTCTATATTTATTTATTTAAGAAAGTATGAATGGCCTATGTGTGTGTGTACTAGTTAACCTCTATTACTGGTTCCTTCTCTATTATTGGGGGGGGGGGAATAACATTGCTTTTAGAAAATGCACACAGGTTATATCTATGGTTGTTTTTCAACAATTCCCTGGCTACAAATAGCTTAAGTTGTATCATGTGATGCTGTGGGTTGACTGCTTTCTTACATGGCCTAAAACTAAATATGATTTTGTTGTGAAAAAAAATAGGTTCTTTTGTAGTCTAGTAGGGATTCTGCTATGAAGCTTTTATTTAATATCCTTGCACAGTCTTGAGTTCAAAGCAATATAGAGGAAAAAAATCAATTTTTTTTAATGTTAACAGAATGCTTAAAAACTTAAAAGGACTACAAATGTTTCATTGGATTTTGATACTACATACTTTGGTTTTAATTTGTTGTATCTCCACAATTTTACTATTATGCAGCAATAAGTATTAAGCCATATTTAGGATTTTACTTACTCAAAAAAAAAATTAACGGAGGGTTTTTCATGTTCAAGCCATCATGCTGGCTTGAGAAGCAGGGTTGGGTGGTGGGAGGATGTAATGGTTAGCTTATTTTCCTCAAATCAGAGCCATTTAGATACTTTCACAACTATTGCTTAAAATCTCTGCAGCAAGAACTTGCCATTAACAGGGCAGCATATTCCTCTGTCTTCTATTGTAATTGAAAGAAATTATTTTTCACCATAGTCCAATACCATCTACCTCCCATCGGCCACCTAGTTCTGACTTCCAAGCCAGGCCAATGCTTCATTCTTGGAATTCTCTAAGATAAAAATTCCAAGCACTGCAACTTTCTTTTTCTAACCCAGCTATAAGGTTTTATATCAATTATCATTAAATTTCATTGTATTGATTTCATCAATTACTTCACTTTATTGAGCTATACAAATATTTATTCTGGGATTCATTACATTAGATACTTCTCTAAGTTTGTCTTTCTGCCTTTGAAATACACTGGGACGACAATTAAAATGATAAAAGTATCAGGCATCTTTATTTTTCAGCTCATGAAAAATAGGATGGTGATGAAAAAGTTATTTAATTCACCTTTAAAATTTCTCATGTGGACTTCTTAGAAATACTTAACTTTCATTTTAAAATGGTACATAAAATAGTCATACACATGCACACATTTTTCTTTTTTAAATATCTGAGACACATTTTAGCCTGATGTATGAAATTAGATAATGTAAACAGTAACAGATGTTTTACTGTACGAAAATATTTCCTGAATAATCAGATTAAGCTCATGAATTAGAGATGATTTCTTCAAATTTTATAAACATAACTTTGGTTAGAATAATGAAAGATTCAATTTTCCAGTGATACAAATTTTATTTGAAATAGTCACACTATATCCTGGCTTTGAAATAAAACTTGCATCTATCTTTAAGTTGTGAAGAGTGTTTTTGGGTTATCATACACCATACTAACACTTCTTGCAGAAACTGTTTAGAGTGAATATTCCAATTTTAAAGAAGCAAATTGGCTTCAAAGAAATCACGAGATAGGACAGGGCATGTTTAGCTCTCTCTAGAGTCAGGTTTGAGTTTGCTTAGAAAGGCCTGACACTGGGCGACATGGCAGGAGACAGCATAAGATTTTGGCTCTGTCATTGATAAAGCCTTGGATAGATTATCACTTCTTTGGGCTTTAATTTAAATAGCAGTTCAATTAGATCATGTTCAAGACCCCTTCCATTGAACAACCTGCTCTCTTTTAGCAGATATGAAACGACCTGTCGGGTCAGAACTGAATAAACCACCCCATACCAGCAAAGACCTTTCTTAATGTGGATGAAACCTCTAGGGAGCTGGAGCACAGGCTTATATTTATCTTTTACATTAAGCTAGTTATGGTGTCTAGATAAAGGCAGTTATTTGTATTTTATTTTGCTATTCTCATTACAGATAAGACAAGGTAGAATTCACTCCACCTAACCCAGTACAAGCTATCTCTCTAAGAAAGGGAGATTAGTAGCTGGTATTTGGTATCTTCATAAAGAAAATATTTTGAAGTAGAAGAGGCCGAGAGAAGATAAACCAGGTTGTTCTACATATCTATAAACTGTTTTTTGTATATGTCTAAAAACAAATATAAATTCTAAATAAGAACAACAAAAGGCAAATTTATCTACTTCTTTGGCTTCCCCTGCCACCTCTGCTCTGTCTTTTCTCCCTTAGAAGCACTGATAATGTATTTCCATAATTCCTTGAACTCCTTTTGTCACAGAAGAAAGCAGGTCTCATGGAGCAAGTTCTATGAACAGAACTGGATGTGCTGGTGTTTCTCTAGAATAATTCATCATTAAGAACTACAAAATGTTATCTCTTGACAGACAAAAAAAAACATTAAAATGCAAATTGTTAGCAAAAAATCATTTTCTCTTTTACACTGCTGTTAGCGTTTTTTAATTTAATTTCTTCTGAAGTTTTTTGTTTGTTTGTTTTTTTGTTTTGTTTTTGTTTTTGTTTTTTTGCATAGGGTTTCCCCATGTGGCTGTAACTGTAAAGTGTATGAATTCCTCCTCTTGTTTTTCAATGTTTTCACATAGTCTTTAGCGGCCATGCACTAACTCCCAGAGGCAAGTGGCACAGTTTGCTTGACTGCCATTCCTTTTAAGTTGAGTCTTCCAGGGTATTTTGAGGATTGAATAAAGCAAGGAAATGACACAGAGTAATTATACCTCAGTATTGAAACCATGGGGTCACTGGAAGCAGATGGACTAGAGATTTTGAACGTGGGGAGAACTTCGTGGGCCTCATGTTCTGGGTTAAAGAGAAGCCCCTCATGGTCAATTCTTTTTCTTTCTTCCCTCTTACAATTTCAACAGCTTTATTTAGATCTAACTCATATGCTGAAAAATTCACCTGTGTACAGTATATAATTCAATGATTTTTAGTATATTCACTCAGTTTGTGTAACCATCATTATAGTCAACTTCACAACATTCATGGTCAGTTTCTATGGATCATGAGAAGCTAAATACTTTTATTCCATATGGCATTTGAAATCAGTTTCCACCTATTATTTTTATACTTATTTATTAAAAATTGTGTTTCTCAAACCAAGATCAGTATGTTAATAACACTCCATAACTGGCATTTCTACCTCTGGATAAGTAGGAGTGTTACTATGATTCCCTTATACCAGCACACATGTGGTCAATATCAGTCAACATGTGAGAGAGCAGATAGCAGTCTTTTTCCAGGGCCAGGCTGACTTCTGGGTTCCTACTGCTGGCACTGTGTTTGGATCTACCTTCACTTCTGTCAAGAGTTGGGAGAGCTGATGATCCTTTCTGCTTGGGTCCCTCCTGGCTTTCAGGCATCAGCCCACTCTTAATTCCAGTGATACCCAAGAGTCTGCTTCAGTGCCATGGCCACCTTTCCCAGGGCACTTGGTTGTGCTGCAGTTTTCTTCTGCTGAGTGCAGATCCCAGCCCCTGATACCTGCCTGGCCTTCTCCTCAGTGCAATCAGGCACAACTGATGGGCACCATTCTGTTGTCATCCTCTTGTACTACTTTGAAATGATGAATGATTTTCTATATTTAAAAAGGGCTCACTTCATTAATTAAGGATAAGAAAGCCCTTATTTCAAAGGTCATGTTTCCAAATTAAAGATTTGAAAAATAGACTAAGAACAGGGGAATAACCTAGACCAAAAAATAAACTTTTGTAATTTTTTTTTGTAAAGGATGTTCAGTATGTATTATTTAGAAAGTGAAAATATCCAAAAAAGGGTAGTTAAGTGAATTATGATATTTCCCCATGACAAAATTATTTAGCTATTGATATTGGTTAAAAGTCTTTGATGATGAATATAAATGCTTATAGCATAATATTTGTTCAGAAAATCAGGACATAAAGTTGCCTGCTGAGACATGGAACCACCATTATGTCTCAGCTATGCCATTCCTTGATATTCATCTTGAAGAATTAAAGTCATTGTACTACAGTGATACACGTATACCCATGTTTATAGCGACACAATTCACAATAGCGAAACTATGAAACCAGCCTGGGTGAGCATCAACCAATGAATGAACTAGGAAAATATGTTTTATATATACACAATGAAGTTTTATTCAGCCATAAAGAAAAATGAAATTTTATCATTTGCAGGAAAATGTATGGAACTAGAGACCATTATGTTAAATAAAGCAAGAAACTCAGAAAGTCAAGGGACATATGTTTTCTTTCATACGTAGAAGCTAGGGAGGAAAAAGGAAAAGAAAGGTGGGGGAGGATCTCATGAAAATCAAAGGGAGATCAGTAGAGGAAAAGAACCAAAGGATGGAAGGAGGGGAAGAAGAGAGGAAGTGCTGGGAGTGATACTGGCCAAATTTTATTCCTATATTGTATATTGTATGCATGTACAAATATGTAGCAGTAAATACTATCATTGTGTACAACTATAATGCAATAAAAATGTGTAAATAAATTTTAAACATTGCTTACTAAGAATTCTGTCAACTATGTAAAACACATTCACTAAAACAACAAA